CGAAGCATTTTGAGACTTGTGTTCTATACTTTCATATCTACTTGGTATAAAGTTTGAAAAAGTTAATATGGAAGAAAGTTCATTGCAGGGTACAATATATAGAACAAATGGTCAACGTGGTTACAAAATAGGCATAATTTACATGTGCATATATTGTCAAGCAAAAAAACAAATAACAAGGAAATTAAGAAAAAAAAACAATTTGGAGCCTGAAATGATTTTGGAGAATACACCACGATGAAATATAATTTATTTGCGGGCCACATATGCGATAAAACCAAAGCCGGAACGGCAATTTTCTTCTTGTTGACGTATTAACAAAATAAAATTGTGGTTTTATTTTTATTATGTGTTAAAAAAAAATGAAACCTGGCTTTCTCAAGCTCACAGTTTTATAAAAGAATGTGGAAAGCCTCTTCAAGCAAACACATGCTCTATTTAACGTTCCTCGCCCTATGCCAATCCTGAAAAAAAAATCTTATTACGTATTTTGCTATAAGACTGGGTGTGTTCGGTGAACAAAACTTCTGGTGACAGGTGCGGTTGATTGCAATATATCTGGCCTTTCACTGTTATATTTATACTTTCCGAGATTGAATTTATGTAAAAAACAGCCTTTCAGACAAAATGTTGACCTTGAGAGCAGTGCCCTATACTAAAACCATTATGCTCAACTAGAGTTGAGTAATGAGTTCACCTTTGCCATCTACAAAAGGTAGACACGAGTAACGTTTCTGGTCTTGCTAAGTCCTTGAGTGCGAATTTTAACAACCAGTTTTAGACATTAACAAAACTTACCTACAAAATTAAATGGCGCGGATAAAGTGCATTGATCGCACAACGTGTAAAACTATGAAAATGTTAACTGAATAAGAAATACACACTTTTCGAAAGTCGAGGCATGACGTCCGTTCTAAGAAAAACAAGGCCATATTATCCAAATGTTCATAACTCAGTCATGGCATATGTTGGCCTGACACAAAATTTCGTATTAATCGCAACAATATTGAGACATCGTAATGCATTTTAAAAGTTCAATATAATAAAACTGTACGGTGTCGTTATCGCGTGCCTTTTCCAAAAATTGGCATTTAGAAGGCAACGTGATCGAACATCAGTTTTATAGGAACGCGCTCGCAGTGCAACATACACGTGCCGCTTTCAATGGCATTCCCATTTGTAGTATTTTATGCCCGTGAAATGCTTCCTCTTCGGAGCGTGGAATGCTTTAATACGGAAGCCTATAGCACAGTAAAGTTTTCCGTCAGTCCGACCGTGTAATAGTGAGCGACACGTTGTGCAATTTAATTGTGTCTGCGCAACTTTTTCTTTGCAGGTTCAATTGTATTCTAAGCTTTGTCTTTAACTGGAATTCTTTCGCTTGACGCATTGATTAACTGTCCATGTGTTCTGCAAGAAAAAGTGAACGCACATACTTTTTTGAGCGCAGGAGCAATAATTAGGATTTCTTGGTCAATTCTGTGCGCAGTTACCTGGGACCCAGTGTGCTGTGCAAGAGCTCACCGCTTCATGTACACTCTTATCTTTTTAGCCTTTGCCAAAATGATCGCTGTCTAAATCATGTCTCGAAATTCGGACCATCATAGACACCACTGCTTGTCACGCAGTCGGCTCCTTGGGATCTGAGATGTTGATTAGATGTGCAGTATAGTTGTCATTGCTGCATCGTAAAATATCTGGGTATCACTTTGCCTCCAAAAATTCAAATAAGAGTTAGAGAGGTGTACATAATGCAGGAGCTAATATTAGAGTATATGCAACATATAAATATAAAATATATATTTTTACCGCGCGTACGTACACAGCTAAAGTTGGCCAGAGTACAATATTTACGTTATGAGATATAGTTAGTACAGAACATGTGCGTTTGGTTTTGCACTTTTCTTAGAGAAAGTTTGGGGACATGATAATTGTACTTCTTATTTTGATGCCACAAGTGGTCTGTTTTTAACACACTTGTATTGTTCACGAGAGTCGCTCAATCATAGCAAAATAAATAGAAAAATTATTTTCGGCCGCTTGTTTGTTCGAACGGGGAGCGCAATTTTCATCAATTAGCAGTGATGAGACGAATGATGTCATTCTACGCAACTCAAAATTGAAGCCGGTTGAAGAAGAATATAAAATTATAATATTAGAGTATCCAGCGGCAAGCTCAGGTGCCGTGTGCTGCAAATATTAGGAGAAAAAAATATGTTTAACGACACCAAATATCTCTCAACTAAACGAATATATACACTAGTTATTCGTAATAATTTAACCAAAGTAACTTCTCCACGAACTGCACAATAACACGCCCGCCACTGAAACCTTGCAACGAAACAAAATATTTCGCGAAAGAAACTTTATTTTAGCAACAAAAATATGGCCGGTTTTATCATTTTAAAATGAACATAGGGTTTTCTTTTAAACTCGTATTTCCTTCTTATCTTAAACAGAATCCGTGAAAAAAAATTTCGCAGGTCAGGTTGCATACACTTTTGCAGTGGGTATAGAAGAAATAACAAATTAAACAATGCATACGATTGTTAAGATAGATAAAATTAAAGCAGTGCTTGACCTTCAAATAATGGCGCACTAGATGCATAGAGATAGAATGATTTATTTTATTTAAAACAATACAAATTCTCATATTGTGTGCAGTCGGCGTAAATATTCATATTACGACCGGGTAAAATTTTTTTCAAAAGACTGGGAGGACACTTAAGCTTCGCCTTTAAGAGTGGAACGCGATATCGTTATCTCGCCCTGTTCGCATCGCCTTCTCGTTTACTTACCATGCTCTTCCTGTCAGTGAGCTGGATGTGCGGAGGACATGGCCCAGTCAGTAGGGTGTCTGGCTCCCAACCGTACATTCGTGGTTTCAAATCTAGCGTCAGATTCTACCAATTATGGTGCTAAGTAGGTGAATTACTTTATAAATGGAAATCATTTCAGTCTATTTATAAAGGGAAATCATTTCAGAATTAAACTTTGCCGCAGACATGCGGCGACTTTTAATTTGCGCTTTATGTCTAGTTTTGTAATCAATTTCATTCCACGCGTGACGTCACGTTTCGTAGCGTTGTGGGTTGTTTGAAATTTTCGCCCGAAGTCATGTGGCTGTGACCTCATGACCCTATCGATGAATCAGAATTTTCACGTCCCGCCACCGACGCAGGCCTTTCTGCCATGCCACCGAGGCCGGGGCGACACGAGCTCCTTAACTCTATCGCGGTAAAATTGCTTACAATGCAAAGGCAATGGACCTTTCCCAAATACCGACGGCACCAGGCGGTGGCTGCACGAACTAAAAATCAAGGAAGTGACCTACCTGCGCTACCAATCGATAATGGGAGCTACACTACCAGTTGCTTCGCTCTCTGAGCTGCGTCGCGTGCCCAACATGCCCAACGCGACTTTAAAGAGGGAAATCCGTAGCGTCCACCCAAACGTCGTGTTTTTCCTTCCGTCCACTTTCTTTTTTTTAAGTCACACAATTATATATGTGCTGTAATTACGTGTTCTACTCATCGATTTACAGCCTCATTCCGAATTTCCTCAATTTTTCGTGTTAACTTCCACCGCCAGGCATCGGGCGCTCGCGCGTGCGCAGAACGCTTCTCGAAAAAGGTCCATCACGTATCCATAAACTCGGGAACGCGCTTAGCTTCTGATATATATGGCAGAAAGAGGAATTATTTATTCGCTTTAACAGACCGTCCAGAATGCGTGGTTGCTCCTGTGAAATATGGGGAATGACCTACACTGTAAAAAGTCTTTCGTAGAAAAAACGAGAAAACGCTTGGCAGCTCTATTAAGAGGGGATGCCCATTAAAATAACGCACCCCCATATTCAGAAAATATGTGAAAAGGGACGTTAATGCAACAATACCCATTTTTTTCAAAATACGAGGATGCTCGTTAAACTTATGTGTACACATCATTTTAATGAGCATCCTTATACTCTGAAAAAATGGGTATTATAACATTAATATAACGTGCCCCGATATTCTGAAAAAATGTGAAAAAAGTCGTTAATATGACAATACTCATTCTTCCGAAGTATAAGGATGCCCATTAAAATTATGCATGCACATAATTTTAACAAGCAACCTTGCACTTTGGTAAAATGGGTACCGTTGCATTGACGACATCTTTTTTCACATATTTTCACAATATGGGGACACATTAGCATTTTAATGGGCAACCCCTCTTAATAGAGCTGCCAAGCATTTCATATTTCTTTTTTACAAAATATTTGTTTCTACATCTCTTTTTAGCTGAGGCACTGAAGTAGCTCATGTTCTGCTGTCCATTATTTTTCACTTACACTAGTTTCTGTGCAACGATATTCTGAAATATAACTTCAGGGTCATTGATGCACCTGAAAACGTGAACCATATACTATGGGGATTGCAATGCAATAGTGAATTCATGCACTTTGGAGCAGCTCTGCTGCTTTGTCTAAATGAAGAGAAAATAATTGGCACAGAAACTTTAATTTCAAAATAGGTGAGATAGGGTGCAGCAAAACAGCAGCTAGCTACAGTGTTTCTGATGTGATGCACCTGCAGACACAGCTGTCAGCTGCTAAAATCTGTTGCAAGCCAAGAATAATAGGTAAGTGGAGAGAAGTAAACCACATTGCACCATGACTGGTTGTTTTCTCCTCCCCACTCCCCTGCCCTCCAGCCTCCGCTCTGCTGATGTTCAAAGAGTGGCGGGCTCTTTGGGAGGGGCTTGCTCTTGCTGTTCTAGAGTTGCAACAGACCAGAGCGACCTGGAGGTTTTCGAAAGTGCAGCTCAAGCTGGCCGGATCATATTAAGGCATCATATCGGCAGCAAATTCTCACAACATAAACACCCTTGAGAAAGGGTTCAGAATTGAGACAGCAGTGAAAATGCAAAATAGTTTGGTCTGTCGTTTGTAAATTATTTTTCTTTAGCTCTTTGTAGCTGTTTTCTTCGAGATTATTTTAAACAACAAAAAACGAGGAAAATTGTAATAGCTCTTTATTATATCTAAAATTCGTTTATGGGTACTTCTTCCGAGGTGTAGGGCTATCTCAATGCTCCCTGCATATGCAAAAGAAAGATGTATATAGTCATAAGCTAAGCACAAGGCTGTCGAAACAATACAAAACAAGGTGAGCCTGACATGCACACAATACAAATAATCCTGCTCGATCTGCAAAGAGAGACCAGCTCACCTTGATGAAAACAACTGGTCTGGACCATAAGGGAAGGCCAGCACATCTCGCCGCCTAATGTTTTCCTCCGAGGAGACCTGCACTAATCACAGAAAATGTAGTTTTAGTTGAAAACCAATTGACATTGCAGGAGAGAGGCATGAAATATCTGATACAGCAAGTAATGTCCGTGACAAATAGGACACAGACCACAGCTCACTTCCAGTAAAACACCGTGCTTTGGGCCTCAGGCAATTAACGAAACAAAAACTTGTCTATGCTCCATCTTGCACTTTACGTGCAGAAAACCTGCAATTGCCAGGGAAAATGCAGATTTAGTTGAAAACCAACTGACATTTCAGAAGAGAAGAAAAATCTAGGGCAGCAAATAATGTCTGTGACAAGTAAGGCGGGTAGGAGACCATAGCTCACCTTCAATAAAACAATGTGCCTGGGCCAGTTAAAAAAAGAACACCTTGTTCGGACCCCAGTCTACGCTTTCATCTGAAGAAACCTGCGCTTAACAGGAAAATGCAGTTTTAGTCGAAAACCAATTGATATTTCAAAGACGAGCAAGATAAAACCTGATGCGGCTAATAATATCTATGATGAATAAAACACAGACCACTTGTAACGGGACCATAGCTCACCTTCAGTAAAACTCCATGCCTTGGACGATTAAAAAAACAAAAAAAACTTGTCCATGCTCCATCTTGCGCTTTACGTGCAGAAAACCTGCAATTGCCAGAGAAAATGCAGATTTAGTTGAAAACCTACTGACATTTCAGAATATAAATCTAGTGCAGCGAATAATGTCTGTCACGAATAAGGCACAGACACTTAAAGAACAACATAGCTCACCTTCATAAAGTATCAAATGTCCTATACTGAAAGTGTGCGTTAAATGTGTTCATTCGACATCCTGGTTTAATTGACCCAGCTTTCTGTTAGTCAACGATCCAAAAAAAAGCAAAATGTTTGTCGAATCTGTCTTACATTTAAATTGTAGAATAGGTGTCCCACTGTACAAGCTATTTTGATACCTGTGGGCTTGTTTCAATTCCACAAATTAACTACAAATGTCTGAGTAGAAAAGAGAAACATTAGACACCTGCAGTAATTACCACAGAGGAGAGTATGTGAATTAGCCATCCGCATGTTATGGTTGCTATTGATTTGGCTTCAAATTGCGCTGCTCTAGCATGATTCACAAGAAAGTTACAACTCCGCAGAGAGTGAAATACCACCACCGCAGACCGCTGAAGTGCAAAACTTCTTTTTTGCCTATAAAACACATGGTTTGGAGTGTTGCCCAATTTAAAAGAGCAGCACGCCGACATTTGGCCCTTTGATGTTTGAGCACACTCCTCTGTGGAAGTAGTCAAGTGGTGTATACATACCTTCAGACTATGGTGATGGCAATTACGGTGCAGGCCTCACTTGCGACCACCACTGGACAGAGGGACGCAGAGCCAGGCAGAGCCCTGCTGTAGGTCTGGGTAAAAAAGAGAAACATTAGACGCCTGCAGTAATTACCACGGAGGAGAGAGTATGTGAATTAGCCATCCGCATGTTATGGTTGCTTGGCTTCAAATTGCGCTGCTCTAGCATGATTCACAAGAAAGTTACAACTCCACAGAGAGTGAAATACCACCACCGCAGACCGCTCAAGTGCAAAACTTTTTTGCCTATAAAACACATGGTTTGGAGTGTTGCCCAATTTAAAAGAGCAGCACGCTGGCATTTGGCCCTTTAATGTTTGAGCACACTCTTCTATGGAAGTAGTCAATTAATGTATACGTACCTTCAGACTATGGTGATGGCAATAACGGTGCAGGCCTCGCTTGCAACCACCACCGGACAGAGGGACATAAAGAGCCCTTCTGTAGGTCTGGGGAAACAGAAAAATTAGGCGTGCGAAATAATTTCCACGGAGGACGGTGCGAAAGCCCTTTTTGTTAAATTACCATCAGCATGTTATGCTGAATTTAATGACTGAGCTCCAAATGTCGGTTCCCGAACATGATTGACAGTGAAGTTATGGCTCCGAAGACAGTGAACACTGACGGCAGGGTTTGTTTAACTTTCTAGCATAAGCAACAAGTGCTTTAAAGTACTGTATTTTCCGGTCTAAAGACGCTAGGAGCCAATTTTGCCTAAAAAATAAGTTTTCGTTTGGATAGTTGGCGCTCAATGCATAGTCCGCAGGGCAAAACGTAGGCTGAAAAGCTAACATCCATAGTCTGTCAGTCCGCACCTCTCGCACAAAAGATATTTGCGGACGAAAGTCTGGATTTTCTTGTGCACCTCTCCTGGGTGAACCATAGAGCTCTCAGCTTGACCCACATTGACCGCTTGCAGGCATCCAAGCGAGCAGTGTGTCACACGCAAGGCATAGAAAGCCTGAGCAACAGATTGGAAGTGTGACGTTCACTTCTTAATCCCGGCACAAAACATTCTAAAATCTGCAAGCCAATCAGACCAGTCTGGTGCTAACGAAGGATCTAGAAACAAAAATGATTGCATAGTGTAACCCATATCTGTAGATAGTCTGCACAACACAAAAAAACAACTTTTATACATGCATAGTCTGCGGACTATAGACCAGAAAATACGCACTGTCTGATTCCGGAGAGCTGCACACTTCCGTTTTGCCTTTTGATGTTTGGCCTAATTATACCAACACACTCATTGATAGAGTTAGTCATGTGGTGTACACATAATTTGAGATGTTGCTGATGTCAGTTATACTACATGACTTACTTTCCGCCACAACATAACACAGGCTCACATAGCCACACAAAACAGTGATATATGTTTGGGGGAAAAAAAAAAGTTACGAAAAACAAATTAATACTATGTACACGCTTGAATTTGCATGGACCAGGTAACGGAAACCTTTTCGAATTTACCGTCTGCATAAATGTACTCGGTGCGACCGTAAAAGCCGGCACGTTTGGCACGCTGGCAAAATTTGCAGCTGGCAATGAACGATATAATTGCGATAAACATTTATTTTTACAAATTAAATTACCGATTACCCAGATTAACAAATATTTTAAAATGAAGAAACGTTTATTTATGAAAGATCTACATTACACACAAAAAAAAAGGTTGCACCTGTTTTGTTTTTTTGTTTTGTTTTTTTCGTCTCGCTTATCCGTTTGGGCGTCCGCAGAACGAAATGGGAAAAACAACCGTTCGTCCGCTTTATAGCCCCTTCCCCTTGCGAACCGAGAGCGCTCGCAGAATCGCAGCTTCGAGCGCCCAGCCTCCGCGAGCGAGCTCAGCGGCACATGCTGCAGCAAACGAGTTTGCTCTGTCCTCTGGCAGTCGCTGCCACTGCCGAGCTCTCCGGCGATGCTTCACAGGCTGCACGGAAACCATCTCGGGCGATGACGTCGCGTCGTGATCCGACATACAGTACATAACTTACGGTTCTGCTGCCTTAGCTAATAAACGAATTGTTACCCTCCCCACGGAATAATGACGAAACTCGTACCCTCCCAAGTACCTATTAGTGGATTCCGATTTCAACTTCGATTATTAGGCGAGACCGTCGGCACCAAACTTGGGTGGCACGGTGGGCACCGTGAGCACGTTCGTATGGCTCGTGTAACATAAATGCACCCACCTGATAACATGACATCAACAGTACTGCTAGCGAAATGGATACGGTCGCTGTCGCGGCTGTGACGAACACGGCGGCATAAACATCGAAACCGAAATGTCGCGAGTGAATAAACATGCGTCAACCGTATGTATATTACCTATGCGGAACCACTACGCAGCGAATTTCTTCCAACCGCTCTACGCGCTCCACCTCCTTGGGCACATCAGTTCGTCTCCCGATCTACAAGCGCAACACACAGATCGCTCGCGATTTACAAGGGGCACAGGAATTCACTCGGCGAGCTATCCAGATTTGCAAAAAGAAGGCACTGATTGTTTCGAGAAATGCACAATTTTTCAAACGCCTCGTTCAAATCATTATTTAACGCGATTATTTTGCTGGACACCAGCCTCTTGTAGGATAGAGGAGGCTTCTTTTTTGCATTCAGTACTACATTACCGGAGCCGACGGCAACGAAAATATGCACGGTAGCCGTTCTTGTTGTTTTTAAGATTTCACGGCTTCAGAATTGACGAATAAGAGAAAAAACATAATACTCCAGGCTCAAAAATGTTTGTATGACGAGTTTCAGGTAAGCACGTTTGGAATTCGAACTTTTAAAGACACGCCGAATGTATTGGATTTTAAATACAAAAGTTATTCAAAAGGACGCACTCACACTCGGTCCTCATGCAGCACCGCAGACACTATCGACGGCAATGCAGAGCGGGGACCAGTAGCACTTTGTAGCGTATACAACATGTTCTTTGGAGTACAGATTTCAAAAAGCTCCATCCTTCTTTTTATGCCTTTCGATGTTTCTTTGAAGCAATAAAGTAGTGTTCACATACCTTTGGACGTCGCTCCGCCAGGAACGAACGGAGGGAACGGCGCGATACAGCCAAACAGGCCACGCCAAAACCCACGAGGCTTCGATTGCTGTGCGAAAGGGTAAAGTGCTATCGGAAACAATATGAGCGTGAACGCGCTTCCGCAGTGACAAGCGGAGGCGCATTCACGCTCATATTGTCTCCGATATTACATAGAAAGTTTGCTGGAGTGGTGCATACCTTTAGACGTCGCTTCCCGCAAGGAACGAATGGAGGGAACGGCTTATAAGGCAACGCCAAAAACCACGAGGTTGTGACAGCCGCGATGGCCGCGAGAACGTAAAGAGAAAGTTCGTTAGTACGTCCTACACGCGGCGGTACATGAACAAACGCGACGATGCGCCGGAAAGGGAGAGGGGGGCCTCCGGGCGTCGGAGGTGGTGGCGGCGTCGAACACGGGTCGGGTTCGCCCTTCTCTGCGCATGCTCGGCGTCCTCGCGCCTGGCATGCTCCGCTGGCTCTCGGCTCGCCGCGCGCGCTTTTCGCTCCGCGCACTTCGAGAAACGATCACAACTCGTCTTTTAAAAATACGAGGGCGCGTCGTATTTTTTGATTGTGAAAATGCACGTATATTTTACGTACATTTTTTACAGTGTAGGAATCCTCGAGAGGGCTGACCAAGGGTCATTTGCATAATGGATTTAATGTGGGCGTTGCACAAGAGCCTAAATATTCAAGGAGATGCGGCACATGATGAAGATTCTATTATCCAGAATTGTGACAAAACTAAACGTGTTCCTTTTTATGATGTCTACTTTGCATGACGCAAGTAGACATCATAAAAGACTCGTTTCGTTTTTCTCCAATTGTAACATGAACAACAATGCAGTGTTGTACGGAACGGCGTCCCTGGAACGCGTTCCTTTTAGGAGGAACGAAGGAACGCCGTCGTTCCATTTTGCATCGGTGGAACTGGAACGGGAACTCATTACATTTTTACTGGAACAAAAAAAAGGAACGGCCGTCCTTTTTTTGTGGAATAATTTTACTCTATTTCTAGTAGGAAAATTTTAAAAAAAGTATAATAACAATATCTTTACGAAGAGCAGGATCCCGTTAACTTTTTGGTTACTTGGTTTATTGGTTATTTGGTTTATTTTGTGTGATTCTCGCCTGGTAATAGTTGGGTACAGGAGAGCTAGTGGACATTGATGCTTTTTTCAGCGCCCGAGGTTGCCGTACAGAAAGCAAAACCTTTAGACAAAGTAAAAGGCACAGAAAGAGGGCCGTTTCAAACTCAGCTACTTTCTTTGCTTCCACGAATCCTCATACACGCAGAAATCTAAGACTGAATACAGCCCTTACCGGACTTCCACAAAGAGACCTACAGCATCAACAAACGACAGACTACAAGACATCGAACGCACCCTTCTATCCCGAACATTGATCACTCATACACAACGATTCGCCGTTATTCCTTCTTCCCTTGTCCCCCACCTTCAAACTGAACAACGAATCCAACCTTCACGAACAACTTCTAGTTATCAAGAATGGCATCCAAAAGCCCTACCCCTTTCTTCACTTGCTCGTCTTGCAGACTGCAACATCGAGAAGCAACTGTTGTTAAGTTCAAACAAGGGACTTTGTTAGATTGAAATGTGTGAGTGTTGTAAAACGCTCATGCAATGTGGGGTAAGAGTATATTTGGCTCGTTTGAATCGCCCACCACAAACATGAATGTGGTTAAAAGGTGAGACTTTTAATGGTGAATACATCAAGAAATGAAACTCTGCTTCCGCTTGATTTCTTCTCCTGGTACCCTTCCTTACAAGGAAAGACAACACTCTTGACCTGGTAATGTGCAACTTCCCGGAATGTATTGAAAACACAACAGTCATTCCTGGATTAAGTTATCATGATGCCGTTACAGCTGAAATATCCCCTACAAGGCCTCCAAGTCCGAAACATATTAAAAGGAAAGTTTATTTATATAACAAGGGTAATTATACTGCACTTTCACAGGACCTACAGTCTTTTTAGCTGTTTTCAATCACAAGGCAAACCTCACAGACATTAAAACATCATGGAACATGTTCCGGGAGAAACTGCACTCTTTTTTAAACAAACACATACCCACGAAAAACATTAAAGAGGGAAAAGCTGTCAACAAAGCATGGGCTACTCCAGAACTTTTGAAACGAATAAAACGCCGAAACATAGCGTTCGGTAAATACTGTAAAAATAAGTCAGAACTAAACAGAAATAGGTTAAAGAGCTTGTCATCCCAGTACGAGCTACTTGCAGAAAAATGTAAAATCACATGTTTTCAGAAGCTAATTAGCAACTTTGCCAGCAACAAAAAAGAGTTTTGGAGGTTTGTGAAGAGCAACAAGAAAACAGACACTACCATACCGGCACTCCTTTTCGAAGGAACTAATGTCACTGATGATACAGCAAAAGCGAACTGTTTAAATGAGTATTTCAAATCTGTGTTTAACGCCAAGATACCACCTGGGGACACGTCACGTTTTGTAAATTTAGGTTATCATCCAATGTCGCCGCTTATCATTCAATACAAAGGAATTGAAAAGCTGCTGCTTAGTCTCAACACGTCGAAATCAATCGGACCCGACGGAACTCCTGCTGTCGTGCTTACAAACTGTGCATCTATCTTGTCGTGCTATCTGCAGAATATTTTTACAAAAAGCTTAACTGAGCGCAAGCTTCCCGATGTTTGGAAAACCGCAAATGTTGTGTCGATCCACAAACGCGGTAGCAGAAATGTTGTTAGTAATTATCGGCCTATCTCGTTGACGTCAATCATATGTAAAATTCTTGAGCATGTCGTTTATAGCAGCCCAATCAGGCATTTGGAAGATCATAATCACTTTACAAAATAACAATATGGTTTCCGGTCTGGTGCATCATGTGTAACGCTGTTAGCTGAATTTCATCACGACATCGCACTTGCAATTGAGTCTGGAAAAGAGGTTGATTGTGTTTGCCTAGATATGTCTCAGTCATTTCACAAAGTAGGTCATTCTCTGTTATTGAGAAAGTTAGAGTGTTTGAATATCCATCCCGATGTTTTAACCTGGATTGGTAACTACTTGGATGATAGAAAACAATGTGTACTATTGAAGGGCTGTTCATCCAATAACGTTACTGTAACATCTGGTGTTCCCCAAGGTTCGGTGTTGGGACCTCTGCTCTTTCTGACATATATTAATGACATCTGTTCAAACATTTCTTCGCGCTTGAAACGTTTTGCCGACGATTGCGTCGAATATATAGTAATTGAGGAAGACGAAGATTATCTCAAACTTCAATTAGACTTGGACCGAGTGTCAAACTGGTGTAGCGATTGGCGAATGGAGCTTAATGCAAAAAAATGTAAAATGGTTAGATTTTCGAGGAAAAAGCAAGTCAGAGAGAATGTGGGCTATACGATTAACACTCAACAACTCGAAAGAACAAAAAATATTCGTTATCTTGGTGTTATTTTCTCAAGCGACTTACTATGGAATAGTTATATTAATTTCATTACTAATAAGGCGAACAGCACGTTAGGATTTCTACGTCGCAATTTGTGTCATTGCCCAAAGGAATTGAAGGAAACTTTATATTTCTCTTTTGTACGTTCAGTTCTAGAATACGCATGCATAGTTTGGGATCCCCAGACTAAGAATCTATCGGATAAATTAGAAGAAGTGCAAAATCGCTGCGCTACATTTGTCTCAAATATTTATAGGTTCGAAGCGAGCGTCACGGCCGTAAAGCAACAGTTACACTGGCAACGGCTGTCGTACAGACGAAAAAATCTAAGACTAAAATTTTTCTACTGCCTTTATAATGATAAAACTTGTATCACTAAAAAAATTACATTCGATGTCCTTTCTACGTGTCGGAAAGAGTGAACCACCAATACAAAGTTGCAACCATTAGCTCTTGTTGTAAATCATATTTTGTCCGAACTGCATTAGAATGGAACATGCTTAACGAAAATCTGTTTCCATCTATATTTTCAGCTGAAATGTTCTTTGTAAGCCTCTCCCTGCAATAATGCCTCCAAGGCGATGCCAGGTAACCCCAATAAATAAAAAAAATATATCACGGCATTCAAATTCTTATGTTGCCATCTAGTAAAATGGATAAAAAAAAACTTCGCTCGATTTAACGAAAAATGGTAATCACCAAAATTCAATAGTAATGTATTCGTAACGCTACGTTCCATTTTTTTAATTGTAACGAGATTGAGTTCCTTTTTCACATATGGAACTTGTAACGGGAACGCGTTCCAAAGATCAGAAGGAGCGAGGAACGAGCTTTCGTTTCTTTTCTTGAGGAACGTGTACAACACTGCAACAATGTAGCAACTTGCAACTTTAACTGAACTTGGTTCTTTGTAATAAACAAGCACATCTACCAGCTTGCTTTATTTGTTTATAGCTTACAAAAGAGTGCCTATCTTACAAAAGACGCCATGTTGATGAACTTTCTTCCTACGCCTTTTCAAGAGCCGGAAGCAGTATTTTCCCGATCGCTCGAGTTTTTTTTTTTTTGCTTCGTCATCGACTGTACCAGCCAGAATGGTCGGGATTATAAAGGACCATCGGCTGGTATTTTATTTTTATACATACCACTGGTTATTCGGGCGGAAGACGAGTTGGAGATTGAGCAGACGATTCGTGGGCGGCCATAAAGGCACCAATATATGCCGACGAGGTGGCTTCAAAAGAGAGGAACGAAAGCTGAGTGGGCAGGGGTTTATGCGGCCGAAACTCCTCCCCGGTCGTACGTATTGAGTTCGGTCGTTGACGGAGCAAGTCGTCATGATTTTGTGTTTCACTATCCCCGCAAACAACGGCACACAGCAATCTTCTGCTTGTAAACTATTGAGGAAAGTTAGGGACGCTGTTCAGCAACATGGTGGAACGCGGTTTACCAGAACTCAAAAGGCGTTTCGTAAAACCTCTTCATAGAAGCATTTTAAATATTGAAGTCATTGTTATGGTAACATCAAAAAATGCAATTTTGAGTGATCGAATGGAGATATCAGATATTACGTATCACAAGCCTATCTCTTACGAGCTCTAACTGCCTGTCGAACACGCAAGTATCTTTTTTTCTCATTTTGATCGCCATCAAAGTGAACAGATTCGAAATGAGACGTTCTTTTTCATGTAGGGCCAACACGTTTGCTGGTGCTGAATGGGTGAAATTCTTGGGTTTCTTCAAATCATAACGTGTAAGCCTACATTTGAATATTTCAGTATGGTGTTCTATTAAGAATACTTTATGTTATTTTATATTTTCTACAGTTGACGCTTTTTTGTATTTTTTTATTAAGGGAACGATAGTTTCTTATAATTAGTAATGGGCAATTAATTATTGAAGAAGCCTTTATCTTGAACTTTTGCTTCAAATG